CGCTGCCCTCTCTCTCTCTCTCTCTCTCTCACACACACACACACACACACACACACACACACATGCACGCGCGCGCAAATTTAAAGATTCCTAAATGCATAAATGCATGGAAGGCCAAATAAAGTGCTTTTGCTTTCGCCTAGAAACACACAGCGTCTCCCTGACATGACTGCATCAACACTAACTGCGGTTACTGAAACCACGCCTTCTTTCTTTGCGTGCACATTTGGGCGCATTATGCAAATATTCCCACATAGTGACCTAGATATGTGGGGGCGTGTTAGAACGAGCCGTTTTAGGGGGGCGTGGCAGAGTCTTAACTTTGATAAAGAATATCTCTTTGCAACTTCAGGGATCTTATCTATGCACAATCAGCTTGTAACACTCCAAGAGAAAGGAAAACTTGAAATCGCATCATATGACCCCTTTAAAGGTGGACATGTTATGTAAAAAATGGGTGAGCCACTTAGGTTTTAGCATGTTCTGTATAGGTATGAACTGAAAAATTAAATCAGCACGCTTTCAAAGTTTTATAGAAAAAGCACAATGCTGGAATGGAAAAACAACAATGTTGCACCATGTTGGATGGAAAACAACATATATACCCTATTGAAAAATTTAAATAATTTTAGTATACTAAACTGGTATGCTTAAAGTTTGCTCAATTGGAACATCTAATTTTGCACTTAATGCACTTTAATTGTGTGGAAGTAGTGATGAAGTCGACCTAAAGAGGTAATGAAGTATATTTGATTGTGGTGAAAATTCTGTCATTAATTACTCCCCCTCAAGCCGTTCCAAACCCGTAAGTCCTTCGTTCATCTTCAGAACACAAATTAAGATTTTTTTTAGGGCTGCACGATAAATCGCATGCGATATTCAGTGAACAACAGCTCTGTGTAGTTAATGCTGCTCATTGTGAAAGCCCACAGGTGATGGAGATTTACCACTGATTACAGAACCGGCTTTTCTGACAAGATGCGCGTTAAATATCGCATGCGATTTATCGTCCAGCCCTAATATTTTTTATGAAATCCAAAAGCTTTCTGACCCTGCATAGACAGCAATGCAACTGAAATCTTTCTAGGCCCAGAAATGTAGTAAGGACATTGGTAAAACTGTCCATGACTGTACTCTCGATAATGGTGGAGGATGCTTACTTGGAGAAGAATTGTTGAATAAAATCCTTATTTTTGTTTTCTTTGCACAGAAAATGTATTCTCATAGCTTCATAAAATTACTGTTGAACCACTGATGTCACATGGACTTTTTTTACCGATGTCCTTACTACGTTTCTGGGTCTGGGAACATTTCAGTTGCTTTGCTGTCTATGCACGGTCAGACTCAGAAAGCTCTCAGATTTCATCAAAAATATCTTAAAGGGGTCATATGATGTGTTTATGCGGTTTAAAGTAAAAAAAAACATTATTTTCCACATACTGTACATTCTTGTTTCTCCTCTATGCCCCGCCTTTTTGAAACGTGTCGATTTTTACAAAACTCATCGGTCTGAAAAAGCGAGGTGTGCTGTGATTGGCCAGCTATCCAGTGCGTTGTGATTGGCCGAATACCTCAAGCATGAGACGGAAATGTTACGCCCCTCACATACTGTTGATGCCGTGTCCTGGCCGGAGCGACGAGACAAAAACATTAAAACCCATTACAAACGAGGCATTTGTTGCATCCAGTGGGGACATAATTACTGATTATAATGACTTATACTGTATTTTTACGCGTTGCGTTGCATTGCATCGTGCCGCGTAAACATAAAACCCTGTCTGCATTTGTGATCAGAGAAATGACAAACAGCACGTGCTACTCCACACTGCCCAAAACTCGCGTTTGAATCATCAGTGGCAAATGATAAAAGAAAACGTACTTACATGAGTCAGAACTGCCGGCATTTTAGTCTAACGTTACTCTCCCAGGATCAGTAAACAGTCCTCCATAAAATGTGCCGGCGATCCACAGCACTAAGTTGATGTATTTCCTCAGCGACCAGCACAGATCAGCTCTAGGCATGACGAAGCGGATATCGTCCTCTTTTTGAAGACCAACCAAAGTAGTTCCGCTTTCACAACGAAGCACACAGCGTCTTCAGGACATGGCGGCAGCGGCAACAATACTACAGCGAGAATAAAAGTTACGCCTTCTTTCTTTGCGTGAACATTTGGGCAGCGTTATGCAAATCTTCCCACATAGTGACGTAGGTATGTGGGGGTGTGTTGGAACGAGCCATTTTAGGTAGGCGTGGCTGACTCTTAACTTTTATAAAGAATATCTCTTTGGATTTGAGACTTTAGTCTTTGCAACTTTACAGATCTTCTTTATGCACCAAGAGCTTGTAACACTTCAAAGAGAAAGGAAAAAATGAAATCGCATCATATCACCCCTTTAATTTGTGTTCCGAACATTAACGAAGGTCTTGCAGGTTTGGAATAACATGAGGGTGAGTAATTAATGACAGAATCTTCATTTTTGGGTCAACTATCCTTTTAACAGATTTGAAGTATAGGCTACTTAGTATGAAATACATGTATTTTAAATATATTAAATTTTTACTAGGGTATTGTGTCACAAAATGAATTGCCACACTGAAAAAACATACTATAATAATCTTTGTTTTATTTACAACTTAAATATTTTTTTCATTCTCAAGACACTTTCAAGACAAAACATTTCCTCAAGACATTTCTTCCATAGACAACAAAATTACTTTTTTTATGCTGGCTGTAACTGCCTGTCAAGCTCCAAAAATGACAAATAAAAACCAAGAAAGTACCATACAAGTATTCTGTGCAAGTAGGACTTTTTTGGAATATTTTCCAAGTTTTCTGAAGCCATATAACAGAACAGACCAAAATTTGTTTGTTATAAACTGGAAATGGAAACAATATTCTTGCCTTGCCACTGTCATCTTCATAATATTCTCAACATTCTTCATAATATCTACTTTTGTTTTCCACATATATGCAAGAAATAACATGCAAGTTGCCAAATCAAATAATAATATAATCAAATTTATATGTACAACTCTTTTAATATTTATTTCCACACTGGACGTCCTGATGTAAATTTTATAAACCCTGATGTTAAAACTTGTCTACATAAATGTACATAATCAGTTTTGAGTTTCACACAAATTCAAGTGTATTAAATGTAATTTAGAGAATAATGTGCAAGAGTACGTGTGGGTTTGTCTGTATCTGTAAGGAGTTGAAAAATAATATACTGTATCCATATAAATAATATATGTATCCAACTTAATTTTAAACAAAGATTTTAGGTTAAAATGTATATTTGCAAAAAGTAAAGTGCATATTTTAGGTGCAATCACTGCAATACACGTGTGCGTGTGCATGCAATATTCAAATAACTATGGCACTTTACTGAATGACTGGCAATACCAGCTGTTATTTGTGCACACAAACAAACACAGCTAAACCATTACTCAATCAATCAAACTGCCCAAATTTTCATGCTTCATTACCACAAATATCAATGAGGCAGAAAACAGTGTGTGTGTCCACAGGGAGAAATCACTTCACACAGCTTTGATGGAGATTATTGGTGAAATAGGATTATTTGGCCAACACTTCAGTAATTATTATGCAAATGTTTGCATCTGTAGGTGCCAGAGCTGTTTCAAATCAGTTTGTGCAACAGCATTGATGTTTCCCTTAGCACATTGTGTTAAACATTCAAGCCATAATACAATGTAAACACACCTAGTTATAGAGAATTGTAAGTATGCATGAGAAAGTGAGTGATTGAGTTTGTGTTTTCAGTGTTTTAACAGATGCTTGGATAAAATGGAGCTTAATCACACATAATTCCTGTAAAGCAAAGGTCTTATCTTAATACTGTGTATTCTCTCTCTCTCTCTATCACACACACACATAGGTCCTCATAGTTTAGGCTGTTTGACTGGATGGTTTCAGCTTATCCTAATATAATCCAGTTATACACAGGAGGTCTGACACAGGCAGACATTACTGGGCTTTGAATTCTAATACATTATGACTACTGTAAATGATCAGATTCTGCCCATAATGTGTTGTAATGAAGTGGCAGGTTTTTGTAACAACAAAGACATCAAAAGCCAGTTAGAACAAACCCCTTCAATTCATTATCTTTAGGTAATTAGTAATATCTTATCTATATTCTTTTCCATTTATGATTTGAAAAAGGTTACAGAAGCCTCATAAAAGTGGTTCTTATGACTATATTCCAAGATTTCTGAAATCAATACCAACATGTAAAAGTTATTTACTGATAATCTTTCCCTCCAGTGGACAATTATAACCAGTAATCGGGGCCAAATAATTAAGTACTGAAACTGAACTTGAGAAGCGAATCAGTCAAATTCATGAACACATAAGTTAGAGCAGTTGTATGAACTAGATTAAATGTTTAATTGAAAAGATGGCAAATTTTAGGATTTTTTTAAAAATAACAAATACAATTAATAAATTATTTGAAAATCAAATTTTAAAATGTGATTAAAATAAACAAATAAATAGTCCAGTATAGTACTGAGTACAAAATAATAATGTAACAATGAAATATTTTCCAAATTATATTTTACACATATTTATAATATTAGTTTTTCACTGTGTAAATTGGGTTTTTATACATGAATATATCAGTCCTTTGAATTTTAGGATGGGGATCCCTTGCATGAGGATTATCATAACTGGGGGTCCATGGCACCTAAAAGCCCTGAATTAAACTACATTATGATGCTTCTATGGTGCCTTTTAATAGTTGTTTGCTGTTTACAAGGTCCAGTTCATTGTACTGGCATGAAAAACGGAAAATAAAGCAACAGAAGGTCTCTTGTAAGTGCCACAGAAAAAAAAGACAAAGCCACATTCATTAAAGAGTAAACTATAGAAATTTCCCACACCAATTTTTTTGGTTGAACTACTCTTTTAAGAAGAAATTGATGGTATTTTAATGACTTTTTATCCAGCAACCTACACGCGCGTCAAAAGCAACTGAGATTGCCCTGCTTATTAATTTTAGAAGCTGGATGAGAGAGCAGATAATATTCACACAAACTTCCAGAGACTTGTCATTATAATACAATATAACAAAGTAAACAGCTTCTTTCTTCTACCCACCTGTCTCACCCTGAGTCCCCGCAGCGTGTGTTGTTGTGGCTTTGGTTTTTTCAAACTCGACGCGCGCGCTGCGTGCGCTCCGCTCCGCTCTCTTCTCAGCGACGCTCGACTAGCACTTCCGTGTTGGCGAGTCCCGACGTCACGCGGAATGTGAAGCAGGAAACGCGGATGTGTTGCGCTTAATCTGCATCTACAGGTATTCGCAAACAACTCTCTTTCTTTCTTCACTTTATTAATTCTTATCAACACAAGACACCGTAGCGCCATTTTTGATCATGTGTTTTTATAGCCGTCAGTTTAAGCTCTGAAGGGTTCTGATCGGATTCGCTTAATTCGTATTTGTGTGTGTGTGTGTGTGTGTGTGTGTGTGTGTGTGTGTGTGTGTGATCCAGACGTGTTCCGATCCATATGTCAAACCCAAACCCCCTTTCAAGCTGATCTGATCCAAACGCAGTGCATCGGACGCGGGTCGGACGGAACCGAGTGGAGGAATGCCTACCGGTAAGAACCCGAGCCCGAGACGGTCACAGCCTCAACCCTCTGTCATTAACTTAAGACGGGTTATGGTGCAAATGTTGTGCTGCAGTGTGTATGTGAGAATGAGTCAAGTGTCATTAGCCTACTGGGGTTCTGCTGATCTCAGCTCTTCCCTGCTGCTTCTTCATTAACAGAAAAGCACAAAAAGTACTATGGTATTACATTGTTTTGGTATTCCTTCAAGTACCCTAAATAACTAGGTACATGAATATGCTAATCATCCAGTAGTATCATGGTATTCCCAGAGTTCCCATGGTTGGGATTAGGGTGATTAGGGTGACCATACGTGCCATTTTTCCAGGACACGTGTCCTGGCCAGGATTTCCATATTGCCTAAAATATCTAGGTTTTGGCTTTGTTTGCGTGTGCAGACCGATTGGTGTATGACATCAAAATACCATACAGACGGTTCCTTATGCTTTCAAAATGCTCTCGAGGTATTTTTATGTCATACACTGATCGGTCTGCACACGCAAACAAAGCCAAAACCTAGATATTTTTTACTCAATATAGAAATCCTGTCCAGGACGCGTCCTGGGAAGATGGCACGTATGGTCACCCTACCCGTGATCCCATGCAGGGCAATGAGTCAGGTCAGACTCTGTTGAGGTGTTGGCACTGATGCCATAGACCTTGACAGCAGGTGGCACTGGCATGTGATTTAGTGTCAGCATAAAATCCTACTCAGCAGGGTCCAAGATGGACAACTTATGTAATGCATTTGGATGTTCCTGAAGAGCTTATGAAAGACTTCTGTGCTTCATTCGCCAGTGTTATTTTAGTATTACTGAGATTCTGTTGTAGTTTTTATTAATATTTTGAATTAGTTTTTGTCACTTTCTGTTTTTATTTAATTTTCAGTTATTTTAGTATATCAAGTTAAACTAAACTGAATAAAAATTGAATAAAAAAAAAGTTTCCTTGGCAAATAGCTGAAATAATTGTATGTGTGTGTATGTGTGTGCACTGGTTTGGGTGGTTTATGAGGACACAAATTTGTATAGGCAAATGACATGGGTATGACACAGGTATTACAATATGAAGGTGGTTTATGAGGACACAAATTTGTATAGGCAAATGACATGGGTATGACACAGGTATTACAATATGAAGGTGGTTTATGAGGACACTACTTGTGTCCCCGTAATTCAAAAGGCTTAAAAAACATATTAATGGTGTTATTTTGAAAATCTAAAACTGCACAAAGTTTTCTGTGAGGGGTAGGTTTAGGTGTAGGGTTGGTGTAATGGAAATGACAGTTTGTACAGTATAAAAACCATTACACTGATGGAGAGTCCCCATAAACCACCAATACCAATGTGCGTGTGTGTGTGTATGTGTATGTGTATGTATATTAGATATATATATATATGACTAAATGTAAATATATACAGTATCTCACAGAAGTGAGTACACCCCTCACATTTTTGTAAATATTTTATTATAAGTAAATATTTTATTATAAATTATTATTCATCATGTGACAACACTGAAGAAATGACACTTTGCTACAATGTAAAGTAGTGAGTATACAGCTTGTAAATTTGCTGTCCCCTCAAAATAACTCAACACACAGCCATTAATGTCTAAACCGCTGGCCACAAAAGTGAGTACACCCCTAAGTGAAAATGTCCAAATTGGGCCCAATTAGCCATTTTCTCTCCCCGGTGTCATGTGACTCATTAGGTCTCAGGTGTGAATGTGGAGCAGGTGTGTTAAATTTGGTGTTATCGCTCTCACTCTCTCATACTGGTCACTGGAAGTTCAACATGGCAAAGAACACTGAGGATCTGAAAAAAAGAATTGTTGCTCTACATAAAGATGGCGTAGGCTATAAGAAGATTGCCAAGACCCTGAAACTGAGCTGCAGCACGGTGGCCAAGACCATACAGCGGTTTAACAGGACAGGTTCCACTCAGAACAGGCCTCGCCATGGTTGACCAAAGAAGTTGAGTGCACGTGCTCAGCGTCATATCCAG